AGAGCTAGTAACGTTAGCAGCACCGCTAACGGCTAACCAACAGGAGGTTCACTTCAGTTACATTATGATGCCTTCAGGCTCTGCTCAGTGAACATGAGTACTGGCTGAAGGTACATTATAACGTTATCATGATGTGTTCACATGTCATCTGTAAAATGTAGTTTTGGTGATAAACTTGAATAAATCCAGTAGTTTGAAGGAGATGTATTCACATGAATATAAATAGATATTAGAGATGAATTATGATGTTTAACTTCCTAACACATAAAAAGCCTGGTTCTCTGGTTCTAAAGTTCCTCCCGTGGTCTCACCTGTCGGCTTCGTCCAGGATGATGATCTTGTGTCGTCCTTTAGGCAGCGTCACTTTCTGCTGAGCGAACATCTTGATCTTGTTCCTCACCACGTCGATCCCTCTGCAGACGAGGTCACATTCATCAAACACCAATAACCTGAGGTCCAGGTCCACGTCCTGGTGTCTTAACATCGTCGTGTTTTTATATTTATTCATGTCTCACCTCTCGTTGGAGGCGTTGAGCTCCAGCACGGCGTCCTTCATGGAGGCTCCCAGCAGAGCTCTGGACAAACACAGGATGCTGGTGGTCTTTCCTGTTCCTGGAGGACCTGGATCACACAAGGTATTATTATTATTATATTACATATATATTATATATATATGTAATATATTATTCCTCTCTTTCCGCACTGATAAAAGTCCAGATTACACTATTCTACCAGAATAAGCTGCTTTATAGGATATGCTTATAACAACCAAAAAACAGACTTCTTCTGCTTATTTTCAGTTCAGTGGAAGAAAGTAACTGAGTACATTTACTCAAGTACTTTATACAATACAGAGTATTTCCATTGTCTTGTACTTTTTACTGCACTAGCTAACTTTGCAGATTTAGATTATTAATACAAAATATAAATGATGGTTTACTGAGTTGGTAAAATCACAATAAACTAACTTCTAGTAGTGATACTACTAGAAATACACTGTTAATGTGTACACATGTACACAAAGTATTAGATCAAGGTGCATATTAATGTAGAAATATACATCTGTGTGTTTTTATTCATTCTTCAATAAAAGGAGTCATTTGATTTGTTGACCGAAATATGACAATATTTATTAAAAATAAAATACTAATTACAAAAATATGATGTATTATTATAGACTAAAAATAAAATATTTTATTGTTAGTCTATAAACAAGCTGCAACAATAAAGCGATGAACACAAATGCATCAATAATTGTGAAACAATATTATTATATTATATGAGTACTTTTACCATTTGTGCTTAAAATGCGAATAATTTTACTCGAGTGTGATTTTGAATGCTTGTACTTTTAGTAAAGTATTCCTACACTTGTGGCATTACTACTTTAACTGAAGTAATATGAAGTAAAAGTACTTCTGAACACCCTTTACTTAAGCTTAATGTGTCAGGATAATGAATGAAAGTATAAAGTAAACTAGTTGAGTCCTTTCGGTCCTCACTGACCTGCGATAATGACGTTGGGTACGTTTCCCTCTCGCGCGAACACCTCGAGCCGGCTCACGGTCTCCTCGTTCCCGACGATCTCGCTGAGTTTCGTCGGTCGGTACTTCTCCACCCAGGGCAGCTCGTAATGGCCGCCGGAGCTTTTAACCGACGCTTCTCCAGCTCCCGTGTCCGCCTTCTGCCCGCTCTCTGTCGGTTCTTTCTGCTCACATTCAGGCTCCATCATCTCCACCTCCATGTTTGTTTCTGTCTTTCAGAGCCCGCGAAGAACTTTTTTTTTTTCCCTCCCTGGCAACCGCGCGACAGCAAACACTGACGCCTCATTGGCCGGAGCGTTTCTTCTTCTTCTTTTTTGAGGTTTATTGGCGGTTGACAAACAATGAATTGGTGCATTACCGCTACCAACTGGTCTGGAGTGTGGATCAGGATGTCTCGTAGTTTAGTATAAATAAAAAATAAAATGAAATGAAATATACATATACATATACATACATATATATTATCCCCTGGCATTACGTTTAATTATTTTATTTTTTATTTTATTGCGATTGATTGATATGACTTATATGTCTTAGTATTAGGTTGTCTATAATATAGAAATTATTTCAAGCTAATTCATGCAAACCCCACTAATTTTAATAAGTTTTGGTATGAATCTTGGTTGTATTGGAAATATATGAAATATATGAAATTAAAAGCTGCAAAAGAAAGTAGAGGAAGAAGACTGTTTAACGAATAGTGCTTGAATTTACTAATCTTTAATTTAAATTGAACACCATTTATATCTATTTATTTATTTTATTAACTACAATGTGTATACTTTAATTTACTTTCTTATTTGTTATTGTTTTATTTTAGGTAGTGTATTAGATATTTGATATATATTTTACTACTCAGACACATAAGGACTTTCACACAATGTTAAACTTGCCTTGTTTGTAAATTCATTATTATTCATTATTAGTATTTTTACTAAAGTAAAGGATATAAATACTCCACCAGTAATAAGCATGTTAAATATGGATATTAATGTTTTTAATACATGTTTTCAGATGAAGGACGCCCCCTAGTGTAGTTACCATGGATGTATACATTTGTTTTTTAATTATCATTTATTTTATGTAGAAATTACAAATTTTTTTTCTTATCAATTATTTATGTATTTATTTTCACCATGGATGCATATTTTTTTTTATTTTTTATTTTTTTTATTTATGTATGTATTATTTATTTGACCATGAATGTATTATTTATTTATTTTAACCGTGGATTTACAATTGTTTTAAACATTTTATTATCATTTCTTATTATTTTCTTTATTATTTTTTTTACCATGGATGTATAGAGAGAACCTAGATACGGATGTAGCGCGCGGAGGCCTCAGACCGGAAGTCGTCATCGCCCTACTCTGAACCACTTCCTACTTCCGCAAACACAACAGCTCCGTGTAGTTTCCCCGTTTTATCGGTTGGTCAATGCGGTGGTTGACTTCTGCCTTTCTTTACTCTATTTACATATTCTAACAGTTCCGACATTTAATGAGTGATTGATTTTAAACACGTCATGACGGCCAACAGCCGCTGTTCCGCCGCCGAGCCTCCGGGCCTGGAGACCCAGCGGCGGGAGATCGAGTCTCTGCTGCGGGAGTGTGAGCTCCGCGCTGGGGACAGTTGGTGAGAGTCTCTCTCTCTCTCTCACACACACACACACACACGCACAGTGACAGGGCTAGCTGTTAGCATCACACGGCTAACTGTTACCTAACGGCTATTAATGGTTATCAACGACAGAGTCGAGTCGCCACGTGTCGTAGGTGTGAGATTGTTGGGGCCGTTTTTAACGACTCTGTGTTCAATGTTAGCTCGCGCTAACCAGACAGACAGACGTCGGTAACTGACTGTTAGCACGTCGATGCTAACGCTAGCCTGTCAACCAGTTTGGGATGAGACGTTCAGGGTTGACTCGTAAACTTCCGCTTTTGTTTTTTTGTGTATGTATATTATCCCCTGGCATTCTGTTTATTTATGTTTTTTTATTTTATTGTGATTGATTGATATTACTTATATGTCTTAGTATTAGATTGTCCATAATATATAAATTATTTTAAGCTAATTTATGCAACCCCACTCATTTGAATACGTTTTGTTATGAATCTGGGTTATATTGGAAATCTCTGAAATTAAAAGGTGCAAAATTCGTCCCAAATGTATTCCTCTTCCTCTTAACATTTCACATTAAGAGGTGAAGGCAGAGATGAAAGAAGTATTCTGAACCTTTACTGTAGTACAAGTATTTACACGTCCCTGTAGAAATACTACACTACAAGTAGAAGGGTTATAAATGGATAAAAGATGATTTAGTTTAAAGATATCATAGAAGTGTGATCTCTTGTCTTTAAACGTGGCGCTGATTTTGTCCTAAATAAGAACAGAATATATTCTGTAGTGTAAACATGACCTGACAGGTTTCTATTATCGCCTCTATTCTTTGTTTTTCCTTCTTTCTTTTATTTTCTGTTCACCGTCAACACTTTTATGAATCACAGAATAAACGCCTCCGTACATTTACTAGACATGAGCACAGTGTTATAGATGATACAAGGTGTTATAATATTGGTGTTGCTGTTTGTTTGTATCATCTTTGATGTGTGTGATTTAGATTGTAGACACATGTTTTGATGGTTACAGGAAACCAGATGCACAGAACAAGATGGAAAGATTGATAGATGATAAAAATAAGCTGTTGTTTTTTGTTTTTCAGCAAAGTGTTTATCTGTCAGACTGTTCAAATAATAATGAGGTCCAGAACAGAGGAAAGAAGTCTTCTGACTCACTCTCAGTGAAATGAAGTGAAACTAAAACTGAAGCGCTTTAGATTGGATCTGTGGACCAGCTGTGCGTCTCTGTGACGGTTTGCCTGTTTGTGTATAAAAAGCTGCTCGTCTTCATGTTTGAGTCTCAACAGACGGATCAAATCCAAACTAAAGTAAATGAAAACACTGTGATGCTGAGGAGGAGGAGGAGGTGGTGGTGTTGTTGTTGTGGTGACATAGTTTGGACTCGTGTTGTTGTGTACATGAGGGTTAGCCTCTGTGGAGTCCAGCTGAAATGATTTGTCTATTAATTGATAAGCTGAACATTAGAGTTCGGTGATCGTTAAACCACAATGTGTTTTTTAAATCCACATCTGCAGCTGTTTGTGGTAATTGATTCGTTGTTAAAGACATTTTTAAAGTTGAGGATTATCAGTTGTACTCTGTCTCATTTGATCATAAACAAACAGACCGCGTGTTGACGTCACTTTGGGCTTTAGGAGATCGTAACGGACATTTTGGGACTGATTTCTGACGTTTTATTAACCAGTAATTAATACAAAATAGATTGAAGGACAATGAAAAGAACAGTGAGCTGCAGCCCTAAATCCATGGAGGAATCATGAATGCATAAAAATATCTATTTTTGACGAATTTAATTAAATGTGAAACAAATGGAACTTCATCGTAACACAAACATTCTATTAAAATCCCAAATGAGTGTAAGTCGGTCCTGCTCATTGATCTGGAACATGAAGAACAAAGGCCTAAGCCTTCATACATACACAGTATACTATCATTACATCTCCAAACACTACTGACAGGATGCACAGCGTCACGTTCATCAGCTGGAAGGTTTCCTGCTCTGGTTTGAGTTCAGTGTTGGTGAAGCCGTCGGTACAACAGGTTGATATCAGGCTGAGTCATAACAAGATCACCAGCACGCTGCTGCAGACTCAGGCTGTTGTCATTATTCATTCATCGGTTTCTTTGTTGTTTGTTACAGAAAGTTTATTTAAATGGTGAAAAGAGTGACATCTTCTTTGAGCCTCGTGTTGTCCAAAGACATTTGATTTAAAATGATACAGAACCACACAATGCTCTGAATGACTCATCAATCTATAGTTAATGTTAATAGTTTAATGTGAATCCTTGTAATAAATATCCTGTCGATCAGACCATTCAGAGACAACAGGTCGTTGTGTGAGTGTGGTATTAATGTGTGTGTGTGTGTGTGTGTGTGTGTGCGCGCACGCGCTGCAGGTACGTGATGGAGCGTCGTTGGTATGAACAGTGGAAGGAGTTCGTGGAGACCGGAGACCAGAACTCGTCTTCCTTCCCCGGTCAGATCGACAACACTGAGCTGTTTGAGGGTCAGTGAACGCCTCATGATGTCATCACCTGACAAACAGCACTCCTCAACTTTCCTTCTCTCTTCTATCCCTAAAAACTGCACTTCAAACCAACTATTTTCTATAATTAGGATAAACTATGGAAGCCCTGAGAGGCAAGAATCCAGGAGTCTGATTCAAGATGTTTCTTCTTCTGTGTTTATGACATAAGAACAGGTGAAAATACATTCTGCCAGGACAACATATTCTAAGTTCCTTAAATCTATTTTCATCTTTGAAAACAGGATCAAGTGTTTGTTGTTGTAATACTCCTTTCAGCCACAAGAGGCTGAAGCGCTCCACTACCTCATGTTCTAAACAGAACCAAAGCTTCATGTGTTCCTCACGGCAGATTAGAGACGATTTAAAACACAGTTACACACAATATATTTATTAAACTCAATTTTATATATATCGCCTCACACATTTACAATCTGTATGGCATAACGGTGTGTTCACACCAAACGCGGCATTACTCGTGGGACCATTTGTGGTTATTTATGCTAGATGTGCCGGAGAGGGGGCGTGGCTTAACTCCATGGAAGCCGTTATCAACTGAGCCCTTTATTTCCTCCAACATGGAAGAACCTGTATTTCTGCTCAGTACTTGTTGTGGAAGTCCCAGAGATCTCGGGGAAACTAAACGCCGTCTTGTCTGGTTCATGACATCATAACAAGACGACAAGCAAACGACTTTAAAATGTTGTAGCAGCTCCATCAACACTCAAAATAACGACATCTAGACGTAAATGCAGCAGCGTCGATTCATTGTTTGTACCATCTGGTTTACACACATTTATACACATAGTCCGGTCTCCACTGATATGAGCTCTGGGTGAACACAGACGACTACAGTATTTGTTTCCTGATTCTGCGTCACTCCAGTCTCACTGCGTCTGTGCGGAGACTTCGTACGTAATCTACTCACGCGAATACGTTGTGTTTAGAGAGCATGCGGTGATTAAAGTCTCACCTGAAGAAGACATGAAGCTTTCAGTTCTGTTTAGAACACGAGGGGGCGGAGCACTTCAGCCTCTAGTGGCCAAACATGAGTACTACAACAACACACACTTCTATCCTGATGCACTCTATTTTCACCAGGGCCCCGTTCCTCGTACGTGGTTCAACTAAGTCGATCAAATGTCCTGTTAGCAGCCTAAATTAACGAGATGATTGATGTCAGGCTATCTCGGTTCCTCCAAGGCTGATCCTCTCAAACAGTCTCGTTAATTCGAACCAGACTTCAGTAATCAGGATAATTGCGCGTGCCCGTCCTACTTCAAAAGGGGGAAGCGTCGATCACCGAAACCATGATTTTCTAACAGCACAATGTTAAATAAAGTCAAAGAAAGAGCCTCTTTTTACTCCGCTGACGAGCAGGAGGTGATCATGAACGCATATGAGGAATTCAAGACCATAATCACGGCTAAA